TGCCCACTGATCATGTTTCTCACCTCAGAGTTGTGGCTGAGCTGCAGGTACGTGCACTGTGGATGGAAGGCACCGGTTCCACACGCGTAAACGTGAGTCTTATTGAACGGCTGCAGCACGCGAACAAAGTTGGCACAGTCCCTCTGAAAATCGAGCCAAAAAATAGATCCGTGACTTTTCCTCGTGTTTAAGAGAAACAAAACTCAGGAAAAGAAAAATGACAAAAAGAAACGAAAGATTTAAAGCAGGTTTTAGGCTCTTAAACCCTTAAAATAATGATCTTTAATTTGGTTCTTTTTGAAATAAATTTTACCTCCAGACTTTTTCCTGCCAGCCTGCAGTGCTCCACATGTTCTTGTGCAGCGGGCCAGTGGATCTGATGGAGAACATGGAGAACATCCAATCAGCAACACAGATTATAAACAATCAAATGTTAACTGCAATATCTGCTAATGGAAACTGAAAAATAACAGATGTTACCTAAATATAGAGAAAGACATATAAATATTGATTAAACAATAATTAACTTCTGATCCCAAACTTGTGATGACTTTCTGATACCAGAAAATTCATTAAATAAAGTTTATATTTTTTATAAGGTAATGTTTATCTGTACAAAAATCTTTGTGAAACAAAATCAGGACCTCAGAGCTGCAATAATAATTTCTAATGCTGATTTTTGATGAGCCTCTGATTACAGGCTGAAGTATAGCTTATAGATATATTTCTCATTAGTATGGACTTTTATCATATTTAGTCACTTTCTGTGTCAATATATCATATCAGACCATAACTTTTTAGCTGCAACCAAAGACTCATTATAACATCAACGCTCATTAACATTAATATTTAGGAACTGGGGAAGCAGATTAAGGCGAATTACGAGATAAAAAATGATTTAAGTGTTTTTTTTAAACTGATAAATAGACTTAGAATAAATAGATAATGCATTAATGCTGCTTCCAATGTGTCAAAGGAAACAATAAAATGTAAATGTTGACTCAGAGATCCAGAATGGCTCAGTATTAGAATAATTCTCCCTCAGAATTTTCCATAGGTTTTTTCTTTCTGCATCAAGAAGATTTTAAGACCTCAAACCCCCAGAAGGCATCAGATAGACGGTTTCACCGCCTCACCTTCTGAAAGGGGCGTTGCAGGTTGTCGGGACTCAGCAGGTAAATGTGGTCTTTCCCTCCGACCAGCAGCCAGCCTCGATCCTCGTCTAAAAGCAGGACCTGATAGCCTCC